ATTGCAAGATTTGAAATATTCAAATATTAAATATAAGTTAATTATTTATTAATTGTTTAACTAACGTATTCATTTATTCTTGTAAGAATACGAAACACAGTTTTTACTATTTATTTATGAAAGCGCTAATGTAACGTTGCGCTCTTTTGAATAACACATTTTCCCGTTTCTGTTTTATGACGTTTCGTCGTCTAGACTTTATTTGATTACATACGGATGCACATTGTTTTTTATTAGACAGATTATAGTTGGTAAGAAACCTTTTATGTATACCATCTTTTTATTACATCAAAACTTATTTAAAGAGAGAAAACATTGTATACTATTTATTAGAAATATGCGTAACTTTTAATTATTATTTTAAACGTAATTTAACTTATGAGAGAACTTATGATACATGAATGAAATGGTTTTTATTGTTTGTTTAGTTTAATTTGAACACTTAAACATGTATCTTATTATAATTTATGTATTTTTACTTATGTGAAATTATTCTTTATTTGTAGAGAATCGATTGTTAGCGACCATATGATATTATATATGAATAAAAGATAGATACATGGTGCAAACTCGCATACTCATCTCTTCGCCCTTAAGTTAACCGATGTGATTCGTACAATTCTCAACTTTAGAGACAATTATCAAGTTCTGGAGGAAATTCTAAAATTGTGCCGAATTTTGACTATTTGGTGAAAAATGGCTACCGATAGACGGAATGAAGACTTTCTGGACTTCGGTGATGTTAAACGGACTCGTAGTACGAATTTAGCGCAGCTTACTAAATTGTACAAAGAATTGGAGAAGAATTTAATTTCATATGAGAACGTGGAACATGTAAAACAGTTATATTCAAAGTTATGTGAAAGGTTTGAACAATTTAAGTTAGCACACTTACAGTGTTTAGATTTGTGTACACAATCAGAAGTTATAGCAAATATGGAAGTGAACTATGAACGTTGTCATGAGAACTTTGTAGAATTCCGGGATAGATTTTCCCAGTATATCGCGAGTGAAAAATCGCATGAAGAGGAAATACCCGAAGAAAGTGATACAGTTTCAATTGATAGCCGTTTGAGTTCACGATCTTCAGTTTCATCACAATCTAGATTACGCAGTGCCAAAGCTAAGCGGCTCATTGCAGAACTTAAACTTAGAAAATTATCAGAACACCATGAACTAGAACGTGAACAGCATGAACTAGAGCGTGCACAAATAGAAATTAAATTCAGACAACAGGTATTTAATCAACGATCCGAGCTGGAAGAGGCCAATCTCGAAGAATCAGTGTGGCAAGAAGCAGTGGAAGAAGACACAGATAATAACAGTGGAATCATGAACATTCGGAACATTTCGCAAACAGTCTCGCAAACATTACAGAGCTCTATTCGTGAGAGTGAGAAGGAATGTATTAATATGAACTCTATTTCCGGACAAACTGCAGCAACTGATAAACCAACGATGAACATTAATAACAGTACACAGGGAATCAGTGCTCAGTCTGGATTTTCGGATGTAAGTGTTTCTAGCATAGATTCGGCTTTTCAACGCCTAGCATCTACACTTCACGAAGGGTTTAATTTGCCAAAACCAGAATTATTAACTTTTAATGGAACTCCGTTAGACTATAGTAAGTTTATAAGGAACTTTGAGACAAACATTGAAGGTAGAATAAGTGATAATAGTTTGAGACTGTGTTATTTGATACAGTACTGTAGAGGTGAAGCAAAGTGTTGTATAGAAGATTGTGTATTATTAGATTCTGATGAGGGTTACAAACGTGCTAGGGCAATATTGTACTCCCGATACGGTAGGCCACATGTAATTGCTAGACCATTTATTGAAAAATTAGTGTACGGCGCTCAGATTAAAGCGTCAGATATTGAAGGTTTATCTAAATTGGCATTAGAAATGCAAAAATGTGAAATTACATTGTCTCAGTTAGGCTTTAATTCAGATATTGATAATTCTGAAAATTTAAGGTGTATTGTTAAACGCCTTCCAATGCATATGAGAACAAGATGGGTCGATATTGCTCATTCAATTAGCGAGTCTGGTAGAGAACCCCGGTTTTCTGATTTAGCTAAATTTGTAGACGAAAAATCACGCATTGCTAGTTCTATGTATGGTTACGATCTTTGTAGAGAAAACAATCAGAACAAGACTGATAATAGGGTTTTTACAAGTAAACATCATAATAATGATACAGTTAAGAGTAAGGTTACTTTGTTAAGTACTCAAAGTTTAAATAACACAGCTAAGTATGAGCACAAATGTAACTGTTGTACAGGTACATGTGTAGATTTGACATCTTGTAGCAAATTCAAGTCAATGAGTTTAGATGATAGGTATAAATTAGTACGCATGTTAAAATTGTGTTATAATTGTTTAAAAGGGAAGCATTTTGCTAACAATTGTTGAAAACTAAAAGCATGCACTGTATCTGACTGTAATGTTAAGCATAATATGTTATTGCATAGTTGGTCTAAGCCCGGTTTTAATCATGCAGCTACCCAGCCTTCAGTTAATTGCGCAGCTACTAAAGGTTCTATGATTAAGAACTGTTTAGGGATTATTCCTGTCCTCGTTAAGGGTCGGAACGGTAAAAAAGCTTCCAATTTCAGCTCCATCTGCCGCAGAAAATGTAGATATAAGAAAATTGCCGTATTTAGCCGATATACAGATACCCTCCACTGATTTAACCGAGGTCATGTTGTTAATTGGTACAGATTCACCTAACGCTAACCTTCCGCTAGAAGTAAGGTCCGGTAACGAAAACCAACCATATTTTGCTATGAAAATGATGGAATCATCTATAACGCAGGAAGACGGCCATTACAAGCTCGGACTACCTTGGCGCGATAGAGAGACCACGCTACCAAATAACATGGTTCTTGCACATGCCCGCTTACAACAATTAAAACGCAAATTGTCAAGTAATGAGACGTTACATAAAATGTCGACAACTGTCAATGATTACATAGAAAAGGGATATGCCAAGGAGGTGACTAATATTGAGTCTAAATCAAAACGTGTTTGGTATTTACCTCATCACCCAATAACAAATGAAAATAAACCTGGAAAAGTTCGTGTAGTATTTGACTGCGCATCGAAGCATCAAGGAATTTCACTTAAAAGCCAACTCCTACAGGGGCCCGATTTAATGAATAGTTTAGTAGGTGTAATTATCAGGTTCAGACAAGACAAAGTAGCTCTAGCTGCCGATATTGAAGCCATGTTTCATCAGGTACGTGTTCGAGAAGACGACTGTGATGCGTTGCGGTTTTTATGGTGGCCTAACGGGAATTTAGATCAGAAACCTAAAATTTATTGTATGAACGTTCACTTGTTTGGGGCTACATCGTCGCCAAGTTGTACTGCATATGCACTTAAACGTACGGCAAGAGACTATGCACATTTATTTGACCAAGAAGTTGCGCTAACTGTAGAAAGAAATTTCTACGTCGACGACTGCCTGAAATCTGTATCATCACAGCAACAAGCTATTAAACTCGCTACAGACCAGCAATCAATGATGAAAATGGGTGGTTTCCGACTTACAAAATGGCTCAGTAACAGAAGAAATGTTTTGAATGCAACACCAGAATCAGAACGCGCTTCATCTGTAGTCAGTCTTGGACCTAGTGATATGTTGCCAAGTGACAAGGCCTTAGGCGTTATTTGGGATGTTAATGAACATGATGAAGATAAAATCAAATTTAAAGAAAAACTATCAGACAAACCTCTGACAAGGCGTGGTATACTATCAATCGTTAGCTCCATATTTGACCCTCTTGGACTGGTTTCTCCAGTTACGCTTAGAGCAAAAGCTATTGTACAGCACTTATGCAAAGAGAAGTTTGGATGGGATGAACAGATTCCACAAGAGTACCATGATAAATGAAAAAGTTGGGTGAAGAACTTACCATGTTTAGAAAATTTGTCCGTAAACCGTTGTTTCCTACCACGAGATGTTCAACATGTTAAAAATGTACAATTGCACTTATTTAGTGACGGTTCAGAACTTGGATATGGCGCGTGTGCATACCTCAGGGTCGTTGATGAAAATGACAGAACTACTTGCTCTCTTATGATGGGAAAAGCTCGCTTAGCACCAATTAAACACGTTTCAATACCAAGACTTGAATTATCAGGAGCTGTTACTGCTTGTCGTTTGTATGAAAATTTGTCAGATGAACTTGAATTAAAGATAAATACAGTTACCTTCTGGACAGATTCAACGATTGTGTTAGGGTACATTAGAAATACGTCACGACGATTTAAAACTTTCGTAGCAAATAGATTGAGCGTTATACAAAATACAACATCTCTAGATCAGTGGCGTCACGTTGACTCCAAACAAAACCCTGCTGATATAGCGTCAAGAGGCATTGACGCCTGCGATAGAAAAAATCTCGATATTTGGTTGAACGGTCCAAAGTTTCTTCATAAAAACTCTGAGCACTGGCCAAGGAACGTACTGGACGAAGAACTAGGGATATCTGAGACTGATACTGAAATCAAGAAGGAGATAACTATACATGCTACAACCAATAATGTCATCGACAATTTGTTAGGATACTTCTCCGACTGGATAAAACTCAGTCGAGCTATTGCATGGTTTAGGAGATTTAAGATTTATTGCAGAAATCGTTACCTTGGACATCATTTGCATTGTAACAGTGGTAATTTTAATGTAACAGAACTTCGGGAGGCTACCGATGAAATATTAGCACATGTCCAAATGAGTTATTTTTCAGATGAAATAACAAACTTGAAGAAAGCAAAGCCCGTGAAAAAGGGAAGCCGTATTGCTTCTCTCAATCCTGTTTTGGTTAATGAACTTATCCGATCAAAAGGGCGCCTAAATTATGACTTAAGCACTTGTCCCGTGATACTGCCAAACAAACATCACGTGACTACGCTTATTATCCGTTATTATCACGAAACGACGGGACACGTGGGAAAACAACAGGTGCTTGCAGCTTCTCGTAAAAAATATTGGATATTAAAAGGATCCAGTGTTGTGAAGACAGTTATCGATCGTTGCGTACCATGCAAACGACAACATGGTCCGTTTTGTAAACAGCAGATGGCACCCCTACTTCATATAGAAATAGCACACAGTTTAAATACGGATTCTTTTATTTCAGCCTTTCAACGCTTCACAAGTAGACGAGGCATTCCCGAAAAGGTCTATAGTGATTTACCAGTTTTAACGCCAAATATGCTATTATTGATGAAGAGCAACACGTCAACACCGCAAGGTGTGTTTGACAAAAAGGATATATATTCAAAACGATGGTGGGAACAAATACAACACCTAGCGAATGAATTCTGGAAACGTTGGTTGAGGGAATACTTACCAACCCTACAGCAAAGAAGCAAATGGCAGAGGGAACAACGAGATGTTGAAATAGACGATATTGTTTTAGTTGCTGATGAACGTATACAGAGAGGACAATGGCCTTTAGGTAGAATAGTCGAGGTCACAAGGAGCCGTGATGGTCATATCCGTAGCTGTGTGGTCAAAACTAGTCAGTCACAGATTTTGAGACCTATAAATAAACTATGCTTACTTGAGTGTTCTAAATAGAACTATTTTTTATTGTTGACAAATTTGTATTACATTTTTCAAACTGTATTAAGAAATTATATGGTAATTTCATTGTGGGGAGTGTAAGATTTGAAATATTCAAATTTTAAATATAAGTTAATTATTTATTAATTGTTTAACTAATGTATTCATTTATTCTTGTAAGAATACGAAACACAGTTTTTACTATTTATTTATGAAAGCGCTAATGTAACGTTGCGCTCTTTTGAATAACACATTTTCCCGTTTCTGTTTTATGACGTTTCGTCGTCTAGACTTTATTTGATTACATACGGATGCACATTGTTTTTTATTAGACAGATTATAGTTGGTAAGAAACCTTTTATGTATACTATCTTTTTATTACATCAAAACTTATTTAAAGAGAGAAAACATTGTATACTATTTATTAGAAATATGCGTAACTTTTAATTATTATTTTAAACGTAATTTAACTTATGAGAGAACTTATGATACATGAATGAAATGGTTTTTATTGTTTGTTTAGTTTAATGTGAACACTTAAACATGTATCTTATTATAATTTATGTATTTTTACTTATGTGAAATTATTCTTTATTTGTAGAGAATCGATTGTTAGCGACCATATGATATTATATATGAATAAAAGATAGATACATGGTGCAAACTCGCATACTCATCTCTTCGCCCTTAGGTTAACCGATGTGATTCGTACAATTATAAATCAACTGTTAACAAAACTCTGAATTTTTGCGAAACACTTAGGATTTTCTACCCCTGGAATACATTACCTCAGCTTTATTTGGCATAAACTTTCGGGATTTTGGGTCCTCAATGCTCCTCAATTTCGTACTTAATATAGCCTTTTTAACTTTTTTGAATCGAGTGTCACTGATGAGTCTTTTGAAGACGAAACGCGCGTCTAGCGTACAAAATTTTAATCCTAATATCTATGATGAGTTTATTTACTTCTTTAATGCAAAATAAGCAGGGGAAAATATTTCCGAAATTCTAACAGAATTTATAAAGGGCATACGATACAATTGCAGGGAAGGTAATTCCGTTGCTAACTTAAAATGTTATTTTTCGCGACGTCAAACTGTGACATATCGGGAAAAGACGCATTTTTCGAGTGATTTTAATCATTAACTTGAAAACGATTACATGGACCCTCATTTTATGAAATGACATTTGACTTGATACTGTATGAAGATTACTTATTCAAAATTTTTATGAAAAAATTACCGACGATTTTTTTTTTAATTAGATAGATATACAGCAAAATATGTCATGTTTTTTTTCTAAAATCATGAAAATTTAATAAAAATGAATTATTTTCAAAGAATTGTTACACAAATTAAGACGATTCTTTTGTAAAGATGATATTCCGAATCGTTTTACAAAAATCCGCATGTTTTTAACTTTTCAAACAAAAAGTGAATTATTTCTGTCAAAAGGATAGAAATGTCCAAGAAACCGAAATTTTAAGTAAATGTTTTTTTTATTACATATTTGAATAGACCAGGTGAAAATAACTTGTATGCAAATTTTCGTAAAAAAATCACCGTGGGATCAAAACTGTATTGTATGCCCTTAAAACAGAATTTTACAAATTGTATATGATAGAACCATCACGTGATAATACACTGATTTCATCGTATTCGTTTTATCTGTCATTCATTTTCTGATTTATAGGTTTTTATCACCTGGGCTAAACTTTCAAATGCCTGGAAAAGAAAAATAATGTATATAGAATGTTATGGTCAGGATTATCACAGCTAAAACAATGTTAAGATATAAACAGGAAAATTAAAGAAACTTAATCTTAATTTCTGTGACTTGACTGTTAGTGTTGCTCTCCACCTATTGCAATTTATTCAAAATTTTGACCAAATTGCAATTTGGTTTATAAAACCAAACTGTTCAACTGGTTAGAAATTTGAACAAACTGCTGTAGAAAACCAGTCAAGTCGTGAAAGAGCAAAGTGATAAAATAAAGCATACTTACAATCCTATAAGACTTTAATTCCACTTCAACATTATTATGAAAAATCAGTCTAACAATTTGTATGGAAATTTTATTGCTATTGTCATGCTAAAGGTGACAGGTAGTAATTTTGAATTGCTATAAGAATGTTCAAACTAAGCTTTCATACAATTTTTCTTTCGAAAAGTCTTCTATATTCACAAGAATCAGACATCATTTGAATTAAAACATCTTATATTCAGTAAAATATATGTGAAATTACAATACGTTGTTAATAAGTTTTCATGGGAGATAAACTAAAAGATTATTCTTTTGAATATAGAGATTGAAATAAACAATTAATTTCCCCATAGGCGACAATGATAGCCTTTTCGAGATACAGACTTCAGAAAGTTGATTTTTTTAACGAAACCTTGCTAGAATTAAAGAAAAGTTATTAGGACAGTATATTTTGGTCCAAAAAATATAGATTCGCGTTGCTTTTCTTAGCGTAATTTGTACTTATCTCCCATGCCTATCCATTTTGCACTTAAAAATACTTGTCTCATCCTAGCGTTTAAAAGACATCTCAGTTCCGTTAGGGCTAAGGAAAATAATTTATTTGGCCTTTGGTGTAATGCAGAATGCACGAAGTCTAATAACAAAAAATAAAGGGCGCACATATCAACCAATCAGGATTAGCTATACTCTTAATTCTGAATACCATGTTATGCTCATAAAATTGCTGCGCCCATAAAATCTAATGGTGTATTGTAACCTAGAAGACTTTTCAAAAGAAAATTGATTATCTCCCATGGAAACTTCCTAACAACGTATTGTAATTTCACACATATTTTACTGAATATAAAATGTTTTAATTCAAATGATTATTTTGTAGTTCCATAATTTATAGCTCTGTTTTCTAACAGGAAGTTAGTGCGTAATTGTACTTTGGATTTTTTTTCTAAAGCAATTAATAATCTGCTAATATTAAAGGGAAATAATTTACATTACTGTAAAATCAGCAAACTTTTGTTCTGTCAAATATCAATTTTCTTCATTTTATAAGTAATTTGTTTGTAACATTATGTCCATGATTATAAAACTATTATCCTCTGCTCTAAAACGAACACTGAAATTTATTTTTAAGATGATTAAAATTTGAAAAAAAACTGTTAAAACATATTATGGAACACATTCAAAGTTCTATAAATTAGTAAGAAGGTATCACCAGCCCAATAGTCAGCAATTCTGTGTTGACATGAATTTTCATTGATATGGTCAAAATTATAGATTAACTTTTTTGTAAAATTTTGAATTGATCAAAGTACTAATGATTTTCTACCACCGAGGATTAGATTACTTAAAAGCAGTATTTGACAAAACCTTTCGGAATTTAGTGTCCTCAATACTCCTCAATTTCGTACTAGTTTGGCATTTCAATTTATTTTTTTTAGTTGTATTGATGAATCTGTTGTAGGCCAAATCATATGCTTGGTATCTTTGATAAATTTTTTAATATACAATGACTCAAAATTAATTATTTCCCTTTAATACCAGCAGATCAGTATTTCTTGTAGTAAATATTATCCAAATCACAATTACACAATAGCTTCCTCTTAGAATACAAATCTATAAATTATTGACCTAAAAACAATGTTTAAAACTATTTATTTATAATCTTTATTTAGGATAGAAGTTTTCATGTCAAAGTTAGACCTTTTTTAAACCAGTGACTTATATCACAGTAATTCATTATTTTGTTTGAAAGTCATTACATAGACATCAACTATCTGGAGCTAGATGGTAAGTATAACTTTTTATTTCACAGCACTCACTTCATACTAACAACCTTTCACTGAAGAATATTGTTAAAATATTTTACCAGTTGACCAGTTTGTGGGAGAAGAATTCAAACTGCAATTTGGAAAACTGTTTTAGCCATTGCTATTGTGATACCCCAAAGCCCACTGAATAAGCACAGTAACATTGAAGTGGAATTAAAGTCTTTTAGGATTTTAAGTATGCTTTATTTTATCACCTGGCACTTTCACGACTTGACTGTGGTTTTTCTACAGCAGTTTGTTCAAATTTCTGACCAGTTGAACAGTTTGGTTTTATAAAACAAATTGCAATTTAGTCAGAATTTTTAATAAGTTGCAACAGGTGGTGAGCAACACTTATAGTCAAGTCACAGTAAAATAAAAATAATCAAAGTTATCTACAAAGTTAGCATCTTATATTAGGATAATTTCAAGAAAAAAAATGACTTAATACCTGAACAATATCCACACTGCTTAAACGGTGCAGATTGAACAATAATGGTAAAATAGAGGCGAAAGATACCAAAGGGACATTCTAACTCATAAGTCGAAAACAAACTGACTTGCATTTTTCAAATGTGGCAAAACGCTTAAAAAGAAATCAGTACAAAACTGTTTCAGTTAAGTAAGTAATGGCTAGCTTATTTGTTCGACATGCTTAAAGTCACCTTTTAACATATCGTATATCGTATTGTTTGCCAGGAAGGTCAAGTTGTCGTTAAAGATACATTTAAAGTTTCGGGTTTGAGCTTTACAGATCAAGGTAAATCGTGATAAGCGCTTCGGTTGCACGAAGTTTGTAACGTGTTATTTTTGTTTCCTAGCACTGTGTTGATACCAGTACTGGTAGACTGTAAGTCCCCCGAGGTTTTCATCAGCTCAGTAGTCCGTGCTCCAGTACTAACATGATTTATAACACACATATATTAAATTCTCCGTTGCTAAATTAAGAAATTAATAAACTGACCTAAGAGGAATTTAATTATTTGTAGGTCCCGATTGGTTATAAAGCTCTTTACGTGTTAAGGTACTCATTCATCCTAAGAATTAAAATTTTTCAGTTTTGAGCGTTCCTGATGAAAGTAAATCCAGAAAACACTTCGAACGAACGAAAGTTATGAAGTGTAATTTTCATTTTCGAAACACAAAAAAAAATGCAATACCAAAATCAACATCAGGGGACGGGAAATAACAGAAATAGCATGGTATGCTGTTTTGTCCGTTTAAAATGTTTTGTTTCCATTCTTCTTGGTCTCACCTTGTCCTTTTCAATTTCTGATTATGTCTAAATGAGGGTTTTTAGTAAACCTTTTTTGGTGATTAAAAACATACAATAATTTTGTTTTGTATTTTTGTTTTAATCTCTTTTGGTTATTGACTTTTTCCTCCTATAACTACTAAAGAAGTGTATTCCTCAAAACACTTGACGCGTACACTGAAACTTATATATTCATTAGAACATACCTTGTTCAGTTTCTCGTATGTTGTATTTGAAAAAGCAACTCTTATATATGGAGATGGCTTTGAATCCAGAGTGAAATGCAACCCTGGTGCAACAAAAACACTTTTCTCCTGAATTAATTTTTCTACCACTGGAAGTGCATCCTTTACTTTCAGTTTTATCCACAGAAACATTCCACCAGCTGGTTCGTCCCATTCTGCAACATCTAAGAAACGTATGTTTAATAAATGCATTGACATCTTCCGCAGGAATATATATATATAAGGAAACGTCAACTTTAGACAATCTGAATTTGATTAATTCCAGTGAAACTTATTCCTGGGCTTACCATTTCAATTCATAAAAAAACAAAGCTATCCTAGATTATTCTTCTTATGATGTGAACTTAGCTATACTAGATTGTTCTTCTTATGAAAACAAGTTGTTGTGTAGGAACTAAAACACAACCAAATGACCGATAGACTAAAGACTGTTTCTACACTTAAATTATTTTAAAATGGTTACTTTATTTTAGCACCCATTATATTCCCTGTCAATAAAACATCTAGAACATCAATAATCCGTCAACTCAAGAGTACATTTTTTACTTTTTACACATTGTGACTTGGATGGATAGTTGTCTCATTGGTACTCATACTACATCTTCTTATTTAAATATTAAAAAAAGTCCACGAATCCAAACAAAAATAAGGACAATTTCTTGATAAACGCTTAGAGACTAGACAAGAGGTAACTGCTCATGCTTGCTACAGCAATTGTGTCACTGAGGTAGATGTCGTTGAACGACATAGGAAACTTTTTTTTGCAATATGCCATAGCATGTTTAACTGTAATAATTTTACATGCAGGCATTTTTCACTTACAAGTTATACCAGAAAAGGGGTAATAACGTGTGCTCGCTTATTGGATATGTGGATTGGTATAATACATTCATGTCTAAATCAAACAGTAGTTTACCGATGTTCAAATCTCGTTAATCGATTAGGAAGAGACAAATCAAAGTAACAAACTAACACTGAGGGAATCGCATGAACCCTAAAAGGAGCGAAAGCGGATGCGTCGACAGGGCAACCGTATCCTGCCATGCATGCCTTTAAATTTGAAAAATGTCATATATTTCAAACATCTTAAATCCCTGGCGTGATTAACGGATATGTTTGTTCAACTGAATATGATTCTCAGTTCTGTTAAGGTAGAAAACTGACATTATAAATTACCTTATAAAAGTTTTATGCAATCCTTATGTGTTGTAGGATCCATGTTACTTATGTCAATACTAACGGACTTTTAAAACGGTCCGCCAGATTACTTTGTCATTTTAATTTTCAATTATTCTATAATTGTTAAATACATATATTACCAAAATTTTCAATCATTTCACCGTCTAAATAAAATTTTCAGATCGAAAGTTTTATCGATTCAAATCATGTGGTATGCACTGAAAACTGGTTTTTGTCTCGCCTGTGATAGTCGCATTATGCGAGACATAGGTATTAACTATCCGGGGGCGGCGGCGGCGACGGCGATGTCAATTATTTGTATAAAGCGAAGAAGACTTTGATGCGTCATATCTTGTATGCAGATACATTATGTTATGAAGTTACTTTCTGTCATATGTCCATTGTCCTTTACCTCGTTTTCATGGTTCAGCGACTGCTTGAAAACAAATTATATATTTTTTCCGTGTGAATTTCTTACTATTTTATGAGTAATAGGATAACCATACATGTTTTTGGTATATGGGTTCCTTGCAATGTCTACGTGTCCGTAAGACAAGGTTCACCTGACCTGGATCTCATTTCATGGACCAGTGATCAAGGTTAAAGATACGTGATTAGGTCCGTTTCTCAAATACTATAAGCAGTAGGTCAACTATATGTGGTGTATGGAATGATTGTAATGGGTACATGTCAGTCTGGCAGGTTACCTTGACCTCATTTTCATGGTTCATTGATCAATGTTAAGTTTTTGTGTTTTGGTCTGGGTTTTTTTCAAATACTAATAGCAATTGGTCAGCTATATTTGGTGTATGGAATAAATGTAAAGTGTACATGTCTGTCTAGCGGGTATAATCTAACCTTGACCTCATTTTCATGGTTCTCATTGGTCAATATTAAGTTTTTGTATTTTGGTCTGTTTTTTAATTACCATAAGCAATAGGTCAACTAAATTTTGTTTATAAAAAAATGTAAGGTGTATTTGTCTGTCTGATAGGATTTATCTGACCTTGGCCACATTGTCATAGATCTTTAAAAATGTTAAGTTTATGTGATACTTTTAGTAAAACATTTATCTTTAAGACTTTCCATAAAATCAATGGTCAGTAAAGCAGGTGAGACATTCCAGCGTGTGCACTCTTGTTACACTATTAGTGGATGTGTCACTGTTGAATACAATAACTGCTTGTGACCAAGGTCTAAATGATTGACAGAGAAGTCTGTTGTGAATGTTTTGAGTTCAGTGTAGTCCCTTCTGATTAGGCCTCTGTCTCACCCATTACAGTCTATTTTTGGCAAAAATGTGGTTTAAACTGTAAGCCTTATAATGGTTTTTCTGCATTGGATTCTGTAGCATTTCAGTATACCGGAAATATTGGCGTGAATCTGCTTGCCGTGACATCCGACGACAGACGATTAATCATGATTTGGTATAAAAAAAAAATCACCAAAGTATGTGTTGCGTTTTTAAGTCAGTCAGTATATCAGCTGTGATCACCTGCAAGCTTTATGTCAAAATAATCTATTCCATGTGCATTTCTTATAATTGTTAAAAAAAATGAATCCCGTACCTTTTAAGTGGTTTCTTGCAGCTTCTAAACACTCATATTTCCTACTTTCATAAAAGGCTGCCATTTTGTCTGCATTTTCATAGAAACCCTCATATCCCCATTTCTTCAACAACGCTAATAAAAATTGCTAAACGTGAAATAAGAAAACATAAACGATTAATTTCACTGATAAAACATATGTGAAAGTAATTTTGAATTAACTGGAATTTATGTATAATATTAATTAATGAAAATTTGCCAGTCAAAACAAAGATTGTCTCTCACTGCAATCTTTATCATCTTTTACGAACTAAATGAATATCATTTGTAGAGAACCTGTCATATATCATTTCTGTCAAGTTGTGAAAACATTGACATGGTAGCTTCAGACAAGATGACCAAAACATAATTTTCCTTATAGCTCCAATGGGATCTCCGTGCCACCAATGATAACATATTTGCCATCTGATCAACATAAAAAGGGAAAATGAAAAAAAAATATTTGTCTAAATTCGGAACGCATACGGGAAGTTTTATCAAGGCCCTTCAATATATTACTCTTGTCAATTTTGGTATAGATTTTAAAGGTTGTTTTAGAGAAGACAATAAAAATGGCAATTCTTACAAAGGAAATTAACAAACATTTCTCTATAAAATAAACTAACTACGGGGTGTTTAACGGCATTGACTACCCAATAGGGTCTTGTACGGTCGATAAAATACTTTTATCCTTCACTACTTGTAAATGAGACAATAATCAGTATCATCTAAAAGGGTCGCTGCAATTTCCAAAAGGAAGATGACAAAAATGCTTTACTGCAGTTACCCAACTTACAGCCTTATTGTATATCATTCAAGAACCTATTGCTTATATTTTTGATCATCAATGCTCTTCAACTTCGTACTTTATTTGGCCTGAATTTTGGATCCTCAATGCTCTTCTACTTCGTACTTCATTTGGCCTTTTGAACTTTTTTTATTCGAGCGTCACTGATGAGTCTTTTGTTGACGAAACGCGCGTCTGGCGTACAATTATTTTTATCCTGGAGTTTATGATACGCTCTATTTCCAAGTCGTCAAAAATCGTATGAAATATTTCGCGTTATATCAAGCTTAAAGATAATTATGAAATCAGATTTCGTTGTTCCTACGTTGGACAGAAATACAAAAAAAAACACACAAACCTTATAGAACAATTGTTCTCACTTTTTCATACAAAAAAAGTCAATCACGTAATTTTAATTTTTACCACAAGACTGTCCAGTTCAAAATTGTCAAGCAAAGATGGAAACAAATCACATGTGAAAAAAATCACATATCAAGAAGCATATTTTTATGTGTATCAAGTGTTATATAGTCATGATAACATTATTGCCAAGGAAACTTGCGGTCTCATTTGAACTGAAATAAATCACCTGTGAAGAAAATGGTAATATATTAAATCTATTTACAATCATCTAGCAAGATTGATGTTTTGTAGGGAGACTTTTATATTAGTTTGTCTCCGTAAAACATTTAATAAAGCTTGTTACCGGGGTCCGGTACTTTAAATAAAATTCAGATGTTATTCATGTATCGAATGTGTTGCGTTATTGATACAAATTCTGCTAGTTATAGATTGGTTGTAATAATTACGGACATTGTTAAACCACAAGAAGGTATAAGAGACTGTTACATTCAAGGATGAACCATTCAGACCAAATCGCTCTTGTTCATCATTTCCATGAAAATATAGTCTCGTGATCATGTTATAACTGGAATTGGCAACGTGAACAATGAACAACTTAGAGACGTGTTAGTCAAAGGACGAAAATGTCGAATTTCCCATCCCATCAACAGGGTAGAGTTGAGGACTCCGCCAGAAAATGTGTAAATAAACTCAGCATAGATACCAGGATTAAAATTTTGTACGCCAGGCGCGCTTTTCGTCTACAAAATACTCAAAGCAGGCGCCAGATGGACAAAACTTTACACAATTTATGTGATCAAGGTGTTTTTAGTTTTTTGTGACAAACAGTTATTAACAACACTTCATTTATAGAATCTGCATATCCTTTCATTAACAAGCACTTTGCAGAAAAGACGTGTTATTGCATGAAAAAAAACATTTAGAGAATAAATTTTTAATTTTATATGTTCGTTTTTTTCGTGTGACTCTCAAACTTTTTTGTTTTGAGTGGTTTTTTCGAGAGACGTACATGTTTTATTGAGTGAATAAACTTAACTCATTTTGGTTAAAATTTGATCTTTTAATGCATTTGCGTTTGAAAAATAATGAAATGGTTCAAATAAAGTACACAAAGACATATCACACACAAAGAGAAGCACAGCCCTGTTAATGAAGTATGTGTAGAGTGAACATGCACGATCGTAACGTATTAATTAAGATATGTAAGTTTACACAATATAATGAGGCAGATGGTATGTTAATGCTATGTTATGAGAAATGAGAAGTTGACAAGTGGAAAGTTGACCGCCGAATAGATGGAGGCAACATACTGGAATTTTATATCCCTGATGTTTTCTTCGAAACACGAGGATAATTTTTTTCTAGTTTTTATAATTAAAAGGCGTTACAGTTGTCATTGATTTAATTTTCTTATATGTACTTTCCTCCTCATCCTTAAAACAGATGAATGTATTTTTTTCACCGGTTAATCTGGTGTTTCATTAAAAAAGAAGTACAGTGCATAGACATAAGTACTCGTCATATCCAATATTTTGCTATATATTTCATTAAATACACATTTTTCCGAAAAAAAGGTTTTGAATGCATTTCCGGTTAGATTCTAACAAACCAGGTGTTGAAAGACACAAAAATGTCTAAAAATGTTTGTTTCTTTGGTCATCATTTTTTCATTAGTTTGTTTTTGTTTTCTCCTGATCTGAACATGTAACATGTATAATAGTTTTTTTTTACAATTTGATATTGTTGAAATATATAGCAAACTTCCAAGCAAAAAATAATACTTTATATCGTCAGAAAATATGAACGCTTCGCAACCACAATATTACAATATAAACAAATAAACATGTAACATTACTACTGCTATTAGTACCAAGTTGATTAAAATAAAACCATTAATGACTCCCACAAACTGTTTTATATGAAATATATAGCAAAAAAATGTACGTGACGAATATTAACGGATTCGGTGGAGTTCATTAATTCCACTAAACACGCGTACGCATATTTTATTCTCATGATTTGCTATTTTTGTGATTTTAAGGGATTGCATTTAAACTTATATTTTGTTTATTTTATTATGTATTATGTATCCAATTCAAATAATATTGCCATTAAACTTCAGTTTGCGACAAATAATATCGACCAAACATAAAATATCACAGACTAAAAACAAAGCAAGCATGAAATAACATCAACAAATTACCAGTTCCTTCTCTTTCATAATGATCATTTTATAAAGAATTCATATTTATTTACACTGCGAGGTTATGTTAAAATGTTTTCAGAACACAAAAAAAATAACCTTAAATGAAAACGGTTAATCTTTTTTAATTATATTTGTTTTTATATGTGTTATTGCCTTTCACTATATTACAGTTATAAAATAAATAAACTCAGTTTTAAAGGACTTGAGTGCCTTCTTTCTTGCTAAATTTTTTTTTTTTCAAAACTTGGATAAGTTTTGAAAAATAACGGTTGTTTTAACTGGATTCCTTATTATTCGAGATACGTTAATTTTTGTGGATTTCGTGGTTAAAGATTAACAACGAATTCAAATTTCCATCGAAGTACAAACTTTCTACACGCTAACATGCAGACTTTTGTGCAACCATGAAATCCATTATCCAATAAATTACAATTTTACCTCAATCCCAGAAAATCAGTAATACACGAAAATAAATGCATCAATAGTACAAAAAAACCTTGACAATGTAAAAGCGGAATTTTAATTGAAATAGAAGAGTTATATATATGCATGTCCTTTGTGCTAAAAACCAGTATTTAATTAGAAATAAGTTGAACGATCACGAATAAAATTATATACTTGCGAAAAAAGAGAGCATGGATTTGATCGCATTTAAAAATGTACCACTTGGTCTGCACTCGAAAAACGAGGACCGATTCACGCGAAAAAAACACGATTTAAACCAAACACTTTACATACTGCGTGGAAAGTAATTGATAAACACATATTTTAATTATATGTAAAAAAAAAATGATAATCCCTTTCTTCACGTTTAAGTACGAGCGTGAGCAAGTAATTATCGCGATGAAAGGGATTATCATTCTCTTACAAACTTAGAATATTGTAAAGTGCTGAAGGCTTAAATAACCTTTTGGTTGGTTTAAATCAAGAATGGAATGCATTGCCAGTGCATGCAATGTTATAATTAATATGGTTTATCTCATTTATAAGATAAACCAATTTAATGAAAGAGATTTGATTAATTTCTTTATTTTTCCGTAAATGAACTATTGCATCATTCGGATCCGTATCTTGTTTCCCGCTTATCAACATCACATGACTCTTCAGCTATACATTGAACTAGCCAATCTTCCAGATAAGCGAAAGTTTCAAAAAGAAAATCGTCAAAAATTCTACGACATATATCCGCATTTCATATTCTAATATTTAGATATGAAATCACCGAAGAGGCCTCGTAAACCTCAAAGAAAGGATTTGCATCAGCCTGGGCCAGGCAAGAAAATAAAAAAAAGGCAAACAGAGACCAGTTGATCCGTTGCCATCAACACGAGGAACACTTCCATCTTCATCAGACATGGATGTGCAAAGATCACAGAACAATGCAATTCAAGTATCTTCGCTAAGAACTGTACATAATGCACTAGTTTCAAGGACAGTGACAGCTTCAAATTTGTCAGTGGCTCATGGACCGGTGATCAATATCATGGCAGACTCAAATCATCAGGAGCCCCATTCGTTCCATTTAGGATCCAGCAAGAGACACCACAAGAAAGTCCACGACGCAACGAGGAAAACATCCCTGACAGTTCAAGGGGAATTTCTGATCCAATGACTCCAAGCGGTTTACAGATTTCATCAAACAATAATCTTGGTATGTTGAATGTATCTAATCAATTTGATTCACAAGGGTCGGGTGCATTTTTCTAATTCTTTTGATACTCGTTTACAATTGGATCAGTCCCCTTTATATATT